TGATAATCCGAAAGCCCTTTCCCTTGATACGGAGTTAGTAGCCATGGCAAGAGGGGGAAGCCAGAGTCTCCTATAATGTATTCTCCTACTTCTGAGCTTTCTGACAGCTTCATCTTCTTCCCGTTTAACCGTTCCCCATCTTGGGAAAGTTTGAAAAATCCCGAGCTTTGGAGCACAAGAGCGTCGCTCAAACTTCCTGGCCAACCTGTGATGATATCACAGAATCTCATTTCTGGATCTACAATCACTTGCAACAGCATGCTACAGTTTTTCTCACGATCCAGCCACACGCCGTGTGCAGATTCTGTCGTTGGCAAAGTCATCATAATGTGCGTCGTTTCGATTACACCGCAACAATTAGGAAGCCCTTTGATTTTCTTAAACTTGGACTTTATCTCATCCATACCTTCTTCGGTTGAAGGCCACGAAAGATGATGGAGTCCTTTCTCTTCCATCGCCTCCACGAAACGCCAAGTTATTTGGGAAACTGATGATTGATTCATTCCAAATGAATCGCCGATATTCGATAACGATTCTCCAGAGCTAAGCCGCCTAAGAGCAACCGCGACTTGGTCGTTTATAGACAAAGGCTTCCCGTTTAAGTCAGTAAAATTTGAAGTTTTGGCCATCATTGCTTCTTTCACAAGAGAACTGATATAGCTGAATGTCTTTCTTGAAATTTTGAATACTGACTCAAAATTTGTGTTCTTTGACTCAGATAATGGTCCTGATTGGAGGCAAAAAACATGGATAAAAAAAACATATTCAGTTCCTGCTGCAAATCTTCTGATCCTGACAACAACTGTTTTCTCAGGTACGACAGACATAATTCATAGTAAAGCTAGATCGACTGACATCATTAGTAACATAAATTAACATCAGACCAAGATGTCCCAACTGACATCATTTGTGACACTAATTAACATCTTAATCTGTAACCAACATCTCAGAACCATGAAATAGGAAAATAGATGACATGGTAATCAATAAAACTGAACTCCAGATATAGCAGGATAATACTTCACTACGTGATCATGTTATTATGTTCTTTTATAAGCCTACCACTAGTAGATATTGTCCGGTTTGACCCATTACATATCGTTATTAGCCTCACGACGCGTTTGCTAGGGAGAGGTTTCCACACCTTTATAACGAATATTTCATTTCCTCTCCAACCAATATGAGATCTCATAATCCACCCATCTTGGGGGTCCACCGCTTGATGTCTGGGTCTGATACCATTTATAACAGCCCAAGCTCACCATTAGTAAATATTGTGCACTTTGACCCGTTACATATCATTGTCAGCCTCACAATTTTAAAACGCGTTTACTAGAGAGATGTTTCTACACCCTTATAAGGAATGTTTTGTCCCCCTCTCCAACCAACGTTGGATCTCATATTCATACTTTGGTTACTCTTTCAATGGCCAACTTCTCAATATTTCGGGGACTTCGAGATTAAAGTTTGAGCCATTAGGTTCTTCAGTTGATGTATACTAAAAATCTTTGTTTTTGAATGGGTGGGCTAATAATCTTTGCTAAAATAGGTGCCTGAAACATGCTACTATTACAAGGGAAAGAAACTGTGACATGGAAGAAGTACATGTCTAATTTGAAAAGAAAACTTGATAAAGTATATCAAGTTTGAAGAACACTAGACATGAAATATAGAGTATATATCATGATAAACCTTAGGAACTTGCTGCTAAAAGAAAATCAAATTTGTATTAAGAATAATAATTCCAAGGGGATCGTTCGAGGACGATCCGTTTTTTGTTCTTTCACTAAAGAAAAGCTTCATGCACTGCTGTTCTAATAAAGCTTTTGAATGTCAAGAACATAGACAATTTCTGTCTCATTTGTGAATTCAATCAAAGAAACATACTAAAAATATGGGCTGTCCTAAACTTCCAGTTTTCTTGTCATTCTAAACTCCTGGAAAGTGTTGGCAAAACATACAAATCATAAAAATCTGGAGCATTTGGCCATATCAGTACGTTGAAATAAACGTGAACATGTCGAAGAGATCCGAGAGTATGGTTTTCTATGATCTTTAGCGCATTGCAGCTTTACTATATTGAATCGAACCAGAGCTTAAACGTCTACATTTCCAAGATGGCTCAAATGAGCCACCGGAGGATAACATATGCTAAATTTTCGGCTAAATCAGGTTACATTATGGTATACGACATGTAATGAATCGAATTCAGCAGTCATCAGCCATGATTACTTTAACTAGAACAAAGAGTACTAACCAAGAACATTGGCTCTCAGAATCTCATCTATACTATTGTTCTGTTTCCCTCGTTTTCTATACTACATAGCAGGCCATAGAAACACATACTTGAGGTTGAATTCCGTTCTTCCCCCGCCCTTCTTCTCTGCCTTATGTACATTATTACTTTCAGAGTCATCCTTCCATTTCTTGGAGATGATAGATTCTAACTATAACAGCTCCACCCACCGCTAGTAGATATTGTCCTCTTTGGGCTTTAATTTCTAGGCTTCCCCTCAAGGTTTTAAAATGCGTCTACTAGGGAGAGGTTTCTACACCCTTATAAAAAATGTTTCGTTCCCCTCTCCAACCGATGTGGGATCTCACAACCTACTCCCCTTCGGAGCCTAGTGTCCTCACTGACACTCGTTCCTCTCTAGTCGATGTGAGATCTCACACTAACTTTAATGCAATAAAGATGAAAACGGGAGTTGTGAATCATAGGGAACTCAAGACATTTATTGCGAGCCATGTTAGGAAGTTCCACTTGATGTTGGCAAAGATAAAGTAATGGTATAGTACATATCTATGTTAAACACATCATTGCTGCTACTAGCAAAGGAATCCAAGAGGATATTAGGGGGATGAAATTCATATCATAAGATGGAGTATTACCCATTCTTCAAGTAGCATTGTCATTATCTCTATGTAAAGCATCTCAATATAGATATAGCATAACAATCCAATCTAAATGAGTAGCCACTTCTAGGATACCTCAATTACCAAATGAACTAAAATATCCAAGTTAAGAACAGCTGCCGAACAGACTCGATCCATTCCAAAACCAGTAATGCTCATAGGATCATAACAACATCCAGCCCCTCGTGACCCTCTCAACGTTAATGAGATATCAAAGAAAGAGTTGAAGATTTAAGAGATTCTGAGGAACAATAACACAGTTTATGAACACAAGCGAAGATATATGATTACTAAACAGTGCATTCCATAGCCGACCACAGCAGAGACACAGAATTTCAATCGAGAGACCCAATAAACAGCAATCAAGCAAGAGGAGGGGCAATGCAGAAATTGAATAAAGGAGAAACAGAGAAAGAGTAAAATTAAGAAGTAGGAAAGAAGAGGGTTACCAGTAATCCTCTGAGAGAACTCGTCCCACCAATCCAAGGGCTGGGGCTGAGAGGTTAGTGAAGAAGGAACCAAGACATTTTGGTCAACCTTCTTCTTCTTCCTCTTGAACCCTCTAATGGGTCCCATTCGAAACTCGAAAAAGAAGCAAAGATGAGGGAAAATATGAAACACCCAGAAGAACCCACCAAGGAAATCGAAGAAGAGTAGAGAATTCACATGAAGAAAAGGGTGAGATTCGAAGTTTGTGAAGTAAGAAGAGAAAAGGGTAGCAAAAGAAGGGAAGAAGGGAAGGAGGGTTGAGGCGTTTGGGGTTAAGAGATTAAGTTTGGTGGTGATGGGTATGCGTTGGTTCTTCTGGTTTTGATTTCAGAGCATGCAATAATAAATGGAAGGAATATGAAATAGAAGTTCGAGAGGAAGGCAAAGAAGTTGCGGAAAACATAAAAGTGACGCATTGGCGAATTACATGTTGGGGGGAAGGACAATGTGGGCGACGAAAAGGTGAAAAAAATAAGAAAAAATTGGAGAGACGGATATGGGCAACTTCAAATCTTTCCTTCTTTGCTGATTCTGCGTCTTGTTCATCAAAATTTCATTCCTTTCTTCTTAATTCTTTCTCCCTTTCTATTTTTCTCACTTTTTTTATTTTTTATTTTTTTGTGGGTTGGGACTATAAACTTTATGATCTAATGCAAGTTCATTATCAAACTCAAAACCCCACCATCCATAGTCTTGTACTTAACTCTCCAAATAAACATTCCAACTTTATTTTTTAGTCAATATTAAACCAAACGAGTTGCTGACTTGTACCGTAAAATTTTATTCTAATAGCTGAGTATTAATATAGTGTAATATTTGAGTAAGCCAGCTACAGAACAATTCAAGAACATAATAGTTACGAACGTTACTATATATATACTAACAGAACTCCAAAATTAAGCATGTTTTTGCTTTACATCATGTTTTCCAAATAAACTTAAAAAAAAAAACATTTTTCCTCCAATAATAATTTCATAACTTTACTAATGATTTTATCAGTGTTTACACGTGTATAATGTATTATATTGGTATTATTATTTGATAAATATTTTCTTCCATGGGAATTTTGTTTTTTATTTAAATATTATTTTTTTCGTATCAAATCTGATGTATTTAATAATTACTTATAATTAATTGTTAATACATTCATAATATTTTAAAGTTGTGTCATAATAACTATGTACACGCGTGAGTATAACATAAGCATTGTTGAATTGGTTATCGGATATATTCACAACTAAAAAGTCAAAATAATGACGCAGTAGTTTAATTTTAAAATTATAAAATAATAAAAAATAATGATATATTATTAGTTAGATTCTCAACTTTAAATATATAGTGAATAAAAGTAGTTATAATAGTGGAATTATTTAGAGCTACAATTGTTTTAATTTTAAGCCTACCCTTCTGAATAATATTGATTTTCTTAGGAAGGAGCCTTATCCAATTAAAAGAGCGATGCTTGGGCCTTTTTCATGCTTTGTTGGGCTTGGGCCTTTGATGCTAAATGGGCTTGGGCCTTTGATGCTCAATATAATAAACTATGGGATTTTTTAAACAAAGTATAATTATATTATGTGGTCTTTTTATTTTTATTATTATAATTATTAAGAACATGAGGGGAATTTTTGTTTAAAGAAAATATATTGCAATTTTAAAAGTTACACTTGATCAACTGCATCAGAACCGTTGATGTCTTCCACCTATTGCTCTTCCCAGCCGTCTGATCCCTCAAATCCGCCGCTCCTTCACAATCCACAGACCTCAAGCTCTCCGTTCTTGCAACTCCAGAGTTAGAAACTTCCTCTCCGCCGTCCGTGCATTTACGCCGCCTCTCGCCGGTCTGCGTCGCCGCGTTCGTGCCGCCTTCGCCGGAAATTTTCGCCTTGTACACTACGTTTCTGCAAAGATCTTCCAGCGAATTCCAAGACTGGTTGTTTCTCTTCACCGCGACGGCAAAATTCGAATCCGTGCTCGAATTGTTCGTCTCTGATGAAAATTTCGACTCCGAAAACGACGATGATGATTCGCAAGATCGGAAACTCGAAGACGCCTCTAGCAAGCGCACTTCCGATCCTTTGAGAATGTACTCTCGACCTTGAGATGGATGTATCAGATCGTCGTCTGATAGGTCTTGCCATACGTATCCGCTTTTGTACCGCCTGAAATCGCAAGTAATTGCTCGATTGATCGTAATATATGAAGCGAATTTGTGTTTAATCGATTGGGAAAAAAAAAAAAAAAAAAGAAGAACAAGAAGGAAAATACACGAAAATCGTATTCTCAACAACCGTTTCACACAAAAAAAACAGAAAATCATCCGTACTTACCGCTTCGAAGACCACGAATACATTCTGGAAAAGTATTCTCCTCGAAATATATCGAGTCTTTTGATCACATCTGAGAAGCAAATCAGACTGAGATGAAAATTGACAAACAAAGAAATCGTTCGACGAAATAAAGAGAAGATTGAGTTTACCTCTGAGAAAGAGTCCGCGGGAAGAAGAAAGAGGAACCTCCAGCAAATGAGGATGCTCGAGCTGGCCATTGCGTGTGAGGTAGTATATTACAGGTATGGTTTCTGCATGCTCTGTTTTCATCTCTGTCATGGTTTTGGTTTCGGCTTGTTCAGGACAGAGACTCGTTCCTCTGCTCCGCCCTTCACTTGACGCCAATGTCTCTCTTCTCCTTTCCGCATTGACCGCCATGAAAACGAAGCAGACTGAAAGGAAGAAAGATGAGGCTGAAGAAGATGAATAAGAACACCGCCAAAATTATGGAGATAATTATGGCTTGCGAAGCTTTAGTTTAGGGTTATAAATACTCACATGACCGTACTTACATAAGCAAAGGAAGGAATTATTGATCAATATGAATTATTTTAATAATTTTTAGGTGAGTTAAGTTATGTTCAAATTGACTTTAAAATAATATGATTTATTAAATCAATTAATTTTTATAGATAAATTTATAATTAAAAAAAATATAACTCCCCAAATTTTGAATAATATATATGAATATAAAATAATAATAATGAAAATTAATTTGGAAATGAAAATGAAAGGAGGTTGGTTTGGTGAAGAACATGTCACTAAAAATCAGGGAAGGTTGAATTGAAAACCCCCAAAAGTTGCAACTTGGAAGCTGAAACTAAGGGGAAAACGCCTAAACTTCCAAAACTACGCCCCACCTATATCCAAATTAGGGAACGCCTCACCCACCAACTTTTTAATTTATCTATTATTATTATTATTATTATTATTATTATTTTATTGGCGTTAATAAACCAATTTTGTATTTGTTACTTAGCTACTAATCTAAATTATATCCCCGTTAAATACAACGTTAAACAAGTACTTATACACACGGTTTAGTATGAATAAAAGAAGTAATACAAAATACGACACTCTACAGAAGAAAAAAAAAGAAAAAAAACATTCGTACATAGATATGAACAATAACTCATGTATCAAGAAGAAAGTCAGTCTGGCCCAAGCGCTAAATAATGTAACAAAATTCGTAAAGTACACTGTGTCGGTTTAAAATGACTTTCTAAGTACTGAAAATACCGAGAGATGGAGCCACAAGAATTTGTAGTCATAGGTTAACATATCTGTAATAGGAAAATCACAACAGTCTAATTTGCTGCCTACAAGAAACAAAGAGAAGCCTTTCATTTCAACTTGCAACTGAATCTGCAACCTGTTTTGTTGGACAGTTGGAAGAAAGATGGCCTTTTTCACCACATTCATAGCATGTTCTTCTTCTAATCTTACCACTTACAGTGCTTAATCCACTATCAGCTACCGTCATTTCAGGGACAGGTTTTGGAAGTGTTTCTGCCGCTGCCAGTGTTGGTGCCGGAGGTGGTGGTGGTGGTGGTGGTGGTGCTGCTGCTGCTGCTGTAAATGCCGGTGGTGCTGCTGCTGCTGCTGCTCCTCCTCCTCTTGCTGTTCCTTGCTTCGGAACTGCACATCGTATCTTGACGGGTCTGCCATGAATTGTCTCCTGATCTAACTTCAAAGCCGTTTTTAATGAAACGCTATCAGAGAAATCAACATGAGCATAGCCACGAAACTCCCCTGTTTCCTTGTCCATGCCAAAACGTATGGACGCAATTTTACAGTTCGCGAAGAGTTTCTTCAGATCATCCTCAGTTACATCCCATGATAGATTGCCGAGATAGATTCTGTTGTAACCTTCCACAATCCCAGGAGAAAAATCAACTGCTTTATTCGATCGAGTTCCCTTGTAGGGCTGTACCTTAAGGAATAGTCCGCCCCTACAAAAGAAATACTAAGTAATAAGATGGTGGAATTAAGTAACAATAATGGCGGCATGAGATCAAATTGTTTATATACTCACATGTCAGCTCCATCCATGGCTAGTGCTCGTTTAGCTGCAGCTTCTGTCTGCAATAGCCAAACAGTGGTAAGGGTAACTCAAAAACCAAAAGATATCTTAAACTCAATAAAACTGAAATCCCCTCACCACCCACAAAACAACTCTGGTAATTGGTGCTAGCAAACTTTTCTATTACAAAGAAGAATACACCAATAATATATGAATCTATGATATTTTTCAACAGAGATTGAATCTTGATTAATCCTAGCTCAAAATATCAAATGCAGCCACCACTAGTAGATATTGTCTGCTTTGACCCAACCTCACGGTTTTAACACGCGTCTACTATGGAGAGGGTCTAGCCCTACTCTGACCAGTGCTTCGCATTGTCTAGTGACTGGCTCTGATACCATTTGTAACAGCCCAAACCCACCGCTAACAGATATTATCCTCTTTGGACTTTCCCTTCTGGGTTTCCCCTCAAAGTTTTAAAACGTGTCTGGCTAACGGTGATACATAACGAGCCAAAGCAGACAATATCTACAATCGGTGGGCTTAGGCTGTTTGAAATGGTATTAGAACCAAACACCGAGTGGTGTGGCAGCGAGGATGTTGGGCCCCTAAGGGAAGTGGATTGTGAGACCCCACATTAGTTGGAGAAGAGAACAAAGCATTCCTTATAAGGGTGTGGAAACCTCTCCCTAGTAGATGCATTTTAAAATCTTAAGAGGAATTCCCGAAGGAAAAACCCAAAAAGGACAATATCTATTAGTAGTGGGTTTGGGCTGTTACAACAAGTCTAAAGCTCTCAACTAGAACCTAATGGTCTTTACATGCTTCTTACACAAAAATCCAACGAAATGATGTATTATATACTATTTAGAGCAACAATGGCAATTGTATATTCATGTAAATTTTCTTTAAGAATGTTTGTATACGTGATGCAGTCCATGGCTAAACTTCAGAAATCTTAGTATCATAAGGCCATTTAAATCATCCTTTGCTAATCTCAATCAACTTCGAAAAGCCAATTGGCCACTTTCCTTCACTCAAACTCGGTTAAGATCTGGCAAAGCATAAATCATGAACTTCAAAGTTGTTTGATCTTTTCCCTACTAGGAGAAATGTAATTTAATACTGATCAGGTTACCATACCTTGAAACTTAATATTGCAATGCCTCTGAACTTCCCACTCTCTGGAAACATCATACAATCAACTTCAGTAATAGTGCCACAGCTTTCGAAAAAGCTACAGATATCGTCCTCAGTTGAATAATATGGAATGCCTCCAACATACACTTTTGTAGCCACATTTTCATTTACTTGACTGCAGAATATTGCAGAAAACTTGTAAAAATCAGCAAAAAGACACATCTTTATACATTAATACAATTAAAAGTGAGGAAGGGAGGGGGAACTAGCAATCTAGATGATGATACACGTTAGTCTACAAATATTAGCATTTGGACTGATACCAATAAAGTTATTAGTATTCATATACTAAACAAAAACAGCTCTCTAGGCAATATTTTTGGTACACAGCATCTTCAAAGGAACTAGAACAAGAAAAAGAGCTTTAAAGCTTAATCTAACTCGAGCCATTCCCCTAATAAAAAGTTTCATATTAGTAATCCAGTGCCTCCCTCCTCGAGCATTGATAGTAAATAATCACAGATAAACCATTTCCAGATCAATGTCAAACGTGAACAGATTCAAACATCAAGAAGCATAGTTCCTAAGCAGAGATGATAAACTATAATCAACCAATATGAACCATTAAGAACATAAATTAATGATCCAATCAAAGAAAAAAATGCCACAATCAACTAATCATAACCCATCAATGTCATTTAATCTAAGATTTCAAAAGAAAATGTTAAGCCTCTGAGATATATCAAAGTTGAGCCAATGGGTGAAATGAACTACCTGCCTATATTATCATGAGTTTCTTCAACTTGCCCTACCACTTCATTCCCATCTTCACCTCCCTGTTTCTCCTTCTCCTCCTCGTTACTCTTCTGTTTCTTCTGCTTCTTCTGCTTCTTCTTCTTCTTCTTATTCATCTTATTCTTCTTCAACTTCAACTTCTTGGCCTTCTCATCATCCTCTTCCAACCCATCAACCGCACTCTTCTCCTTCACCTCTTCGTTTCTCTTCCTCTTTTTCTCTCCCTTCCTCTCTCCCAATCTCTGATTCTCACCTTCCTTCTTCTCCTCATCGTTCTTCCCATCCGAAGCTGTTGAAATAACCGATTCTCTACGTTTCTCTCGCTTGGACAATCTGGTTCCATGGCGACCAGTGCCCCCTAAAAGCTCTTTGAGAGACTGTGGCCGAGAATCCGACTCCGGTTCACCGGAAACATCACCGTTAGAGACTTTCCCGGCGATTGATGAAATCAACGATTCAGCTAACTTTTCTCTAAATTTCTGCTTCAACTTTTTGTTCGACAAAACCATCTTCAAAGTCAAGAAATCATAAATGGAAGCAGACGTCAAATTCGCGAAACGGGCAAAAATGAAGTCAGCCGAAATTCGAGTTCGAGGGCTCCTTTTTTCCCACTAAAACCTAACTTGCAGCGGCGGGGTTCGTACGAGGCGGAGACATATCATAGACCCATCGCCGGCTAATTAACCATAAAAGATTATTTCGGTTATTAATTCAAATTTTTTATTTTTAATAAAAAGTAAAATGTTGATATTTGTTACCTAATTTTAATATATATATTTAAAAATTATATTTTAAAATCTACAATATATATAATACTTGATTACATATTTGACTTTACTTTTATGCGAATAAAATCATTGTCTAAATTTATTATCAACCACATAAATATTAGAAAGAATAAAAAAAAAACATAATTTAATTATATATTTCCACTAAAAAAAGAAAAATAAAATAAACATTACTTTAATTTTTATTAATATTGTTCACTTCAACAGTAAACTTTATAATATTATTTTAGAACAAGAGGCTAGGATTATTATTTATACATAATAATTTTCAATATTATATATTTATCTTGTATTATACACAAAGAAATTTAAGATTTTTATTATATTTTATTGGATTTTGTTCAAATTTTTACATTACAAATACACGTGGATTTATTTTTTTATTTCACGAGCCTAACAGTCAACCTTCATTAATAATATCAAGCGGTGATATGAAAAAATGGTCAACATCAAAGCCATGGAAGAAGTCAAAGGTTGAACAGAGACCAATTTTTTGGAAATGATTTAAAAAATAAAAATTAATATTTTCTAAATCTTTTGTAATAATTTAAAATTTTGTAATTAGTTTATAATACATATTATATTAATAATTAAATTTTTAAAGCTTAAATATAAAATATTTACAAATCACCGTGGATCAATAATATCAGGTGGGTCGGGTTGAGATGTAATTTTATTTTTTAGGTGGGTCAGGTTGACCCGATAAAAAAAAATCACTCACGAACCGAACTGAATTTTCGATTTTCGGCCTTTACTATTTAGACAAAGGAATGTAAGGCTCGAAAAGCGACAGCGTTTCGTAGGGATAAGATTGTGCGAAGCTGTTGAAAAGGTAATCCCAGGGTTCACAGAGAAGCCTCGGACGCCATGGAAAAGGATCTGATAAGCAATTTGCCTGATGAAATTCTTTACAGAATTGCATCGTTTTTGCCCATTGAATCCGTTCTTCAAACAACATTCCTTTCGACAAGATGGAGGAACCTCTGGAATCAAATTTCAGTTCAAAATGGAGTTCTTGAAGATCTTGCAAATTCAGCTTTAAATTTTCTTCATTTCAATGGCTTTCCGCCATTGAATCATCTCAGAAGGTTTCACTATCAGTTCAGCAATGGCAGAGCTCTGTTCATCTCTGTTTTAGCCAATGAAAAGCTTCACTTACAATTCTCTTCTGAAAAACAAGAATTCCCAGCTCAGTTCATCTGGAATTTAACCCTCAATTATGATCACCACCCTTCTCATTCATCTTTCTTTGTCAAAACACTCTGTCTCAAATCAATAACCCAAATTACGACGGACGCGATTTCGACGTTCGTTTCGAGTATTCGTTCGATTCAAACGTTGAAGCTCATTGAATGTAAAGGGCTGCAATCATTTTCAGTCACTTCTGGTTCAAATCTGCAAAGCTTGACCATTTTAGACTGTCTGGAGTTGGAGTTTCTTCACATTGGATGCTCGAAACTCCGGTCGTTTCGATATCGAGGACGGTTTCCTAACGTTCGGCTCGATTGTCATTTTAATATGGAAGATGTTATGCTTGACTGCAGACAAGGTCCTGGATCTATGTATAAGAGTAATGAGTTTGATCCATTTTTGTTGGCAGTAAAGAATGTTAGAACACTCACTCTTTGTAAATGGATTTTTGAGGTATTTTCTTAAACATTTAGCCTTTGAAATAGTGTTGTTTTGTTGGGTTTTGATCATAGAAGTTGTTGTTGCAGGCTTTGATCTTTCCTTCTCTTTCTTGGAACTTCAAATTTTATAAGCTCAAGGAGTTATGGTGGATTGATGATTCAAAAGGGAACTTCAATGCCAATGCATTGATGGCCTTTGTCAAATTGTGTCCCGCATTAGAGCGCCTCTTTGTTACGGTATTTCGTTCGACGTTTCTTAAACAGTTTAATATGAGTCTATGTATGATTGAATAATTTTTGTGTGTGTTGTACTAATTGTGTGCAGTTCGACCCCGAAAGTTACTGTGTTTTGAGCTCGAAATCATTTTCGAAGAACACGGATGGGGACGGTCGAGTCGGGCAGCTTAAGGTTGTGATCTTGAATGGATTTCTTGCATTAGAAGAGCAAGTGAAGGTGGGTGAGTTGGATGGAAATTTCTTGCAAGTCGCTTGCTTTCAGCTGAATTCAAAAGGTGAGGGAAACATGGACTATATCAGAAAACCATTTCCTAAACATTCTCATATGGACACTTGGAAGTAAAGTTTTAGATTGCTTTGGATGTTATGCGTAGAAATTTGAACGTCCGACCTCAAGTAAATAAGGAGACGTGTTCATTTGTGAGCTACATTTATATTAGCTGATAAGCTTTCTTATGCACGGTTTTATTTGTTTAACTATTATTATTTATTTTTTATTTTTATTTTTATTTTTTTGCTTGTTGCTTAACCAGAAAAATTCATATAATTATAACCTATCTATTATTTATGTATTTTCATTCTACTTTTTCTAAGTTAATTGGCGGTGAAAATTTGTCAAACAAAACGAAAAAAAAGGTATAAAAAAATAAAAGTCAAGCTCCGATGCGCTGGTTATATCATCAGAGATATCTGATGGTTGTGATCGACCCGGATCACAGTCAGCGCGTATTTCTTCATCGCAAGACACATTTTGCACCAGCCGGGAATCGAACCCGGGTCTGTACCGTGGCAGGGTACTATTCTACCACTAGACCACTGGTGCTTTTGTTAACTTGTATGCCTTAACATTAATAATTTTCAAAGGAAATTAGTGTCTAATTGACCGCAAATCTCTTGCTTAAGGTTTTCATCCTATAGGGCAAAGAGAAGAGTTTTTGCCACTAAGAAAGCAAACGGTCAACACAATGAGCACTTTAGTAACCTTGCGTGCTATAATGCTGAGCCAAAGAAGATCTATCTTATCTATAGAAGTTGTCAACCGAGTTCTTAGTTCCTTGGCAACACCTTAATCTATAGACAAAATTCAATAATGAAAGAATGTCTTTCCCCATTGCTATTTGATAACGAGCTGATCTATCATAAATAAGAAATATAAGAGATAACTGTATGAGAAATCATTTTTCTCTACGTAAAAGTATCACTTACATATCCATTATTATGAAAAATATAATTTTAATATCTAAATATAACCGTTATAAAGAAAATAAATTTTCCATTTTTACAAATGGATATATTTTCAAAATAATATTTTATAACAAATTTGAAAGTTCAAAGATAAAATAATTTGTTTTTCAAATTTTGTAGTCATAATTGAAGACACCAAAAAGTTGAGTAATTTGTATAATTTAACCAAATTAAAACAAGTTAAAACTTTAACTCTGTTTACTCTGAAAATCCTTCTACAATGAGTCGAGGAGATCAGCTTAAGGAATCACCTCCTACAACTATGGAGAGGACCCACTATCTGCTTCAATTAGCTTATAAAGTTATGATAATGTTACCAAGTGCACTATAGCACCATTTTCATTCAGCACAAAGCAATCACCAAAAACATGATAAGAAGATGGGAGGGAGGGCAAAACAATTGGATAACTAAGGTTATAATGGAATCTGAAGCACACTATAATGAAAATGATTGGAATGGGGATGAATGTTCTATGGATTGTGTAAACCCAGTCAGTCTATCTGAGCTAACAAATACCAATACATAATCATAATAAAAAGATGAAATAAAACTAGGGTCCCTTCTACAAAATGCTCTCCAAAATTTAAACATGTAACAATTGAAATCAAAATACTTCCTCCAACCTCTGCAGCTTAGATGATACCAATCTTGTTCGCCACATCTAACGCATCGTAATCCGGAGTTAACCTAACGTACGCCTTCTTCGTTCCATCGGGTCTGTGTATCAGGGATGCAGGATTATACATTAGAACATCAATCATTCATCATCACAATGTATCAATCAATAGAGACTTTGCATCAAACCAAGCTTCTCTTTAAATGATGATGAATACTTAAAATGTAGGGTACCAAATTACCTGATTAAAGTGTTCACTTTCTTGGTCTGAATATCATACATCTTCTTCACGGCATCCTTGATCTTTTTCTTGTTTGCACGAATATCAACAATGAAAACAAGGGTGTTATTATCCTCGATCTTCTTCATTGCTGACTCGGTGGTCAGTGGATATTTAAGAATTTGATATTGGTCCAACTTGTTCCTTGGAGTTGCACTGATTCTAGGATATTTGGGATTCCTGTCTTTCTTCAATGTCTTTGGCCTATGGAATGTAACTGATGTTCTGATCTTCTTAGCCTTCGGCTTGAAAGTTGGACCAGCCTTAACTGCCTTGGCAGCCTTCAAGGCTTGCGCCTTAGGATCAGCCTTTTTGCTGCTGTCAGCTGCAGAAAACAAAATAAAAGCCCTTATATTAAGGACAGGCAGAGCATCAAAAGCTCAATATAACCAAGCGCAGTTAAGTTGTATCAGATTCCACTAGTATATTGAATACAAAAGCTCAAAATGTTGCTTAAAAGTACCATTTAAAACATTCGAAGGAAGATTACTTAAATCCCAAGTAAACAGAAAAATCCAGAGAGGATTCGATTCAACCAACTACTCTGCTTAAATCCCATCCCCCAATCATCTAATAAACGAAGAATCACACTAATTCTTGCAGTTAAGAGAAAAGTAGATTTCAGAAATTGGATTTTCAATACTGGGAACGCCTATACGGAACTCAGCTTCGATTGAAACAAATGGAAGCATAACGATAATAATAAATGAACACCTTGTACTCAAAAACAAAAAATTAGAATACGTGCATACCTTTAGGTGCCATTGCTGAAGATCCTGGACCAGAATAACCAATCTGCTAGCAGCAAGAAACAGTCAAAACGAGAAGAAAAACAAAAGAAGGAAGAAAGAGGCAAATATTAGCAGCAATGGCACGCAGGAAGCAGATTCATACCTACAAAGAGAGGGATAGCGAGATGGAAGGTTGCGGCCGAATTAGGGTTTGTAAAATGGAGCTATTAGATATGGCCTTCAATAGTAAATTGGAGAATTGGGCCGGACCTCTTTTAATTTTTTTAATAATATGGGCTTAGCCCAAAAAATCTTTACTATCAAATGACCCGGCCCACGTAAGTATTTGAACCGACCAACCGGTCAAAAGAAATTCAAAACCCATTTAGAATAACTTTTCAAATGGTAATACTAATATTATTTTCGTATATCTAATTTGAGATTAGTTCATAAATGAAAATTTTCATTAATATTTTACCAAAATTTATAAAAATTAACCTCAAATTTTACAATAAAAATATTATATTAAAAAATTAAAAAATATAGAGATAGAATCAGATCCAATATCAATTACATATTGTGTCATAATACTTTAACAAGACCACAAGTTTAGTATTACACGAAGAATGAAACAAGAATTTAAGCATTAAGTTCATAAAAACATGAATAAAATTAGAGAACATGAACGCTTGAGTATCTCGATGCTATGTACAATAATTTTCGTTGGGCGTATTTTTGTGACAGAAACAACTTATGAGAGTCTTTTTTCATAATGTCTGGACGCTATGATATCATCTAGATATTTGTCGTGCACGTTATATAGCTTGGGGATTCATATATTGAGCATCTAGAGGCGAGGGGCATCTAACGCTTTGACCTCGAGTTTCTTGATTTGGTTGCTCAAAATTGATGCCCAATGAACTTATTTCACCTCAATCTCAAAAACTTTGGCTTTGTTCTTAACGTTCGATTTCTACACAACGAACAAATACAAACACGAAAGCAACCGATAAGACCACAAAACGAACAACGACCCAGGCTTAAGAACAACACAAACATCCTCATGATTACACGAAGCAGAGGACAAAGAAGATGATGATAAATGCGCCAACATAGCAAAGCTGACCACAATTTCCATTTATTATTACATTTATAGCAATGTCATAAGTTTTAAGAGAGAATTATTGCAGGCTGGGGGCCCCTCTTCTCTTTCACTCTCTTTCATACTCTTCTGGTTTGACTAAGAATTTGTAATGAATGATGAGTGTCTGCTAAGTTTTCAACAATGCCACAACATTTTCCTACCAACCCACCACCTCTTGCTCCACAAACCTTCAACCTCTTCTATTCCTAACAAAAAGTTCATATCAAAACATAAAAGACAGCTATAACCAGTGGATCATTCATGAGTGGAGCGAAAGGACTTTAAACCTCTAACATTTTTATCGATGGTATATGATCTAACCACGTGAAAATAAGAAACAGGATGGAAGCGATCCTCGAACATTAGTAAAAGAAAGATTGATCCTATTAAGAAGGCAAAAGTCAAGAACATGTGTTAGGGAAAGGCAAGAGCCCTTCCAGGAAATTGTTTACAGTATCAAATTTGAATTACGTGGTGGGGTGGGGGGGTTTACAGCTCTGTACAACTTGTTAAGACTTGCTATAAACGACTTGGGTTTTCAAGCGTCTCCTGCAAACACAACAACCAATGTGGAAGAGAAACAATCAGAGCTCTGGTTTTAACACAACTTTATCTATCCAATGAAAGCAGGACATATGAACAGGCAAATTGGGTGTCTGGTAATGAATAATATAAAGTAAAACACTAATCAAAAGCTGGGGAAGAGTTTTGGTGCACAAACCCTTAGCCACAGAGAAAGTTACCCCAGAAAGTTCTGTTCTTTACATTCTTTCTTTTCTTTCGTACGTAACCATCCGTGTCAATTAACTGCATATCTCAAATCTTTCTGGAAGTTACTCCTCGATTCAAACCTTTGATGTCAAAGGCATACGTCTTAATCCGTTGAACTATATTTAGGTTGGCTCGTTGGCACATATGGCTCCACTCCAGGATGATTTAGGATTAGAGGAAAAGATTTGGAATTTGACTTCTTTTATCAAAGACTTTCCCTCATTTTCTATTATCAACAATTTGAGTTTCCCGACTTTTCTACGGCGTTTTATGGAGGGAGGCCATTTTGTTGTTTTGTTCTTGTTTTCTGTTGCCATCTTTTATAAGGTTAAAGGACAAACATGACAATACAGAGCCAAGGCAGATCGTGTCTGACTAAACTACCAAAGGCTTGGCAGGATTAGTTTAGATCTTTGTTTCGCCACAGCGAGTTGGGAAAAAACTGTAAAGGCTTAAGTTCAAGCGTTGAAACAATCAGAAAGAAGGAACAGCCGCTTCACTGGTCGAGAAAACCCATAATCATCAGATAGACAAGACATGGTGACCTTCTCAACAAATAACATCATTAATTCATCATTAATCATACCCATCTCTCCAAAAATTAACCGTCGAAGCGCATGGCTCGATCCAACAGAAAGCCATTAAAAAATGTAGAAAGCAGTAAAAGAAGAAAAAATGAGAACAGATATAGCACTGTAGCAGTAGAGAATCAATATAGTGATACAATGCCCGGAAAGCTTACCTCACTAATTTTTGTAAGGGGAGTTCATCTTGATGACTAAGTTGCATGAATCGCTAAGCCAGTTCAACAATCGAATAATTTTTGTTATACCAGATGAAGGAAATGTCTCAGCAGCAGGGCTACAACAGACTCAATCGTGCAAGAAATTCCTCTGTTTCTTCACCTTCTTTAACGATCTGTTTTCACAAGAAGTTTATAGGGAAGATCAAAACATACATCATCTGAAGAAATGAATCATAAAGAACAAAGCTATAGATCTATAGCATGTTGAAGAAAATTAAGCTAAATAAGAGCAATCCATTGTTTGTCACACGCAACACACCCAGAAAATTCTGGCATTTGAAGGATTAGGGCAATAAAAGAATCAGTAATCCAAGCATCAAATTTTTTTTTTTGAAAAAAAGGTCTGAAGTACCTTAATTTCTGCATTTTCTGGCAGACCTACTTCAGTAAGTATATATTGACCAACTTTAACCCAGTCTATCTTCTCTAAATCAACCAAGTCGTTATCCCTCTTTACTCGAACCTGAGATAAATCATGGTCAAAAGAACTTCCTACCCACATAAACAGCATCATGTCATCCTTCTTGCCTAAATACCTACTTGGAGAGAAGATCGCTAAAGCAGCTTTAGAATTGAGGTAACTTGTGTCAAAAGCTGCAATCCTTTCTAATTCCGGCCAACAGTATACCATAGGTTGGACAAACTCACCATCTTGCTTCCCAGACACAGTGGTGGATAGCATGCCTTTTTCAAAAGGTTTGGGATAGCTTTTCCATGAACTAGTAGATTGTGCATCAACTTTAGTTTCCTGCTGGCACGAGGCCACACTACCTACCCTTACGTCGATTCCATTTTCAAAATTCTTGAAATTCTGAGTGGAACTTGTCTGTTCATTTGCAACCCTATCTGTAGGCTCTGAGTCATTTTTCATATTAATTAATACATTAAGAGAGAAAGAATTCTTGTTTTTCCTCTTACTATCTTCTTGAGTGGCAAGAAATCTTGAGGCACTATTTGTTGCTCTGATTTTACTGGGCATTGTAGGCAATGTCAGAGACTTTGAACTACCTCGGCGTTCTGCAAGAGAAGGTGAGAACTTTTTAGATGAGAATGAGAGTGAGTGAGAGCTTGATTCCAAGAGGACTGCATCACGAGTTTCGGGACCATTGGGCACAGATTCTAAGGAACTATTGGATGAGATAAGAGACATGTTAGAAAAACTAGACAGCGATGAAGAAGCTGGAGCTGAAGGTGAAGATGCAGATGGAGAATCTAAAGAGGACTCTGAAAAATACTTGGAACTTGAACTTGAACTTGAACCTGAATCAGAAGAGAGGGAATCTGGAGAAAGATAGATAGGTGAAGAAGATGATGAAGACAAAGAAAACGTTGAAGGCGATGAGGATTTTGCAGAAAAATGCACCATCATCGACGAGTCTGAATAGACCCTAGACAGAGATACTCGAGGAGCTGATATGAAATCTTTCATGTTTCCTGAGGCAAACTTACGCCTAAGCATACTCCAATTGCTTTCTCTAACAGGAAGATGGGTTTCGTGCTCGTTCTCAGATGAAGGAAATGGAGGAACAAAACCACCAGTTATAGCCTTCTGAAAAATTTCAAAGTCCACATCATAGGAATCGACTTTCCTCTCGCCTGGATAAGGTTTACCTTTTAACTCCCCAGGATTGATTTTACTGTTGGATTTATCCATTAGAGGTAACAGGTTTGCAAAGGAATCCCAAAAGTTTATTGGTTCTTCCCCTTCCTTAATTACATATATAGGCCCTTGCACTCTCTCATACCGAACAATCTGCACAACAGCCCCCCTTGCATCCCTTTCCATGATTGCTTTACAGTTCTTACCAATCCAAACAAATATGGCAGATGGTATATGAATGATAAAAGCACCTCTAGAATCGAGTGCAGATGGTGAAGGGTCATTCAACATTTTGGGGACGAGATGCAAAGGATCATATGGTGAGTGTGGGGCAACTCTATACATCCTCAACAATGAACTTGGGCTAAGAGGGAAAGCATGGACCCTCTTTTGGCACTGTAATAATTGGCAAGCGAAACCCATATTCGGGTCAGCAATACCTCTTGCTGCCTTTACATATTGAAATGCATCATCAAAACTCTGCCCTTCTCTCCACATCAGATAGGCAATCACCAACGACGTTGACCGGGATACTCCCTGGCAACAATGAACAAAAACCCTTCCACTTTGTTCTCTAACATCTTCAAAGTAGTCAAAAACATCATACAGAATGCTAGTGATATCCTCAGATGGGCTATCCTGCAACCACAAAGTTCTGTACACGAAATCATCTTTGAAGTACTCCGGGCAAACGAATCCTACACAATTCAACACATGAGTAATTCCGTTCTGTTTAAGTATATCCCTATCTCGAGCAACCGCATCTCCACCAAGATATACATGATCCGCCACTTTCGAGCACTCTTTGTCAAAGAAAGCAATCTTATCCCTCTTCACAAGCCCACAATTCTTATCCGGATTTCTCTGAATTGTCGACAAATCAAGTTTCAACCTCTCCCCATTTCCTCTCCCACTTGGAGTAGGAGGTTGCAGCCACTCCCCTATGTCGTCCGACCCCGCTTTGGGCCACTCATCCAAGCTTCGCCGGGCTATCGACAAAGGCTTTAAAGGAGGCAAACACGACCTTGCTTTGCAATGCTGCTGTGATCTTGGAGTTAATGGAGAATGGAAAATTCGGCTTGTTCCATTACTATCTCCAAGATGCCCACTGGTGTCTCCACCATCTTTGTTCACATCAGGATGGTGAAGGGAGGACCGTGACGCAGACCAAGAAGCCGAGCGCCAGAACAATTTCCGATTTCCACCAGAAAGCTGCACTGCGTCCCCAGCAGTAGCAGAGTCCTCAGAGCCCACCATGCCCGCACCACAAGCCGCAGACAATAACTCAAAGAAGCCCAAGAAGTACGAAAACCCTAAATAACTTAATCACCCGGACACAAGAATGAACATATCGGCTGAAATCATAATCAGAGACATCAAACAGTCAGACCCACATCAGATCAACATCAATAACATCAACCAAAGAGCAGAAACACATCAAAGAAAAAGGAAAAACACTTAAAATAACTAAATTAAGAAATACCCACAATTCATTCCATAGTTTGACGAAATAAAAAAGAACCCAGAAACCAAACTGCAAGGATTAAAGAAAAGCACAAAAACAACAAATCTAAAACTCAAAAGAAAACTCATAGCAACGACTTTGAAAAAGGAAAAGCAATTACAGTGCACGATTTCTAGGGTTTGCAATGAAACAAAAAGGCGAGAAGAGTTACGAATTGAAACTTACAAAATCACATGGAAGAGGCGAAGTGGAGTGAGTGAGTGAAGAGGAGAAGTGAAGAGCAGAAGAAAAGAAGTGTAATCTGAGAGAGAATTAGATAGAGAGTGGGTGTGGAGAGGAGGGAAGGGAAGGGGCACTGCTACTCCATTTTAGAGACACAAAGAGAGTAAAGTATTACACAAGATTTCAATGTCTTTTCTTGGCCCATTGGGTTGAATAATATGGGTGAAATTGGTGGACTTTTTTTTTACATTTTTTTAATTTTTTTTAATTTTTTAAAAACTTTAAACTAATAAATCTATAAACTTTAAAAATATATATTTTTGTAATTTTTTTTAAATGTTCAATAAGTAAAAAACTTATTAATGAGATTCCCATATTTTTTTTAATTCAAAAACTACATTTTTTTTATTTAACCAAAATTTGTCAAAGTAGAAGTTAACACACTTGATATCTGATTCTGATTCTATGTGTAACAGTCAAAACTTATCGCTAATAGATATCGTTCGTTTTAACTCGTTACGTATCGTCATTAGTTTCACGATTTTAAAACGCGTCTACTAAGGAGAAGTTTTCACACACTGTTAAATAATAATTCGTTCCTCCCTCCAACTGACGTCGGACCTCACATAAATTCAACCCAAATGACCAATAATGAAAGGGAAATAAAAGCATATGTCGAGTTCGTTATCGTTTATCAATCACGATCATGATGAGAGACTAATCAAAATGAAACAGCTTAACAAGTTATCAGTCTTCATCGAGAGTTTCTAGTAATATCAATAGACATTATCCATGAAGTTTACTGAACATAGCAGGACAGTTGTACAAAAAACCAGACATTTAAAACAAACGAACAATTTCAGCTCCAAAAGAGACTAAAGAGAGCCGTGTGGATTGGTTAAAAGAATTGTACCTGTTTTTTTTTTTTTTTTTTTTTTTTTTTTTTTTTTTTTTTTTTTTTTTTTTTTTTTTTTTTTTTT